CTCTTTGCCACCAGGAGGATTTATTAATTCCGCATGCATTATTCATGGAAGTGGAACAAGCCCCCTTAATAGTTGTTGCCTGTGGAGTGCTAATCAGTCATGGGACTGGTGACAGTGCTTGTCCAGATTAATCATTAAGGTGGCATGCGAGGGGTGCATTCACAAACCAAGAGGAGCATAAGAATTCGGGGCCAATTGTGCTACGCAAATATCCGTTCTCAAAGAAAGGCATTGACTCTTTTTTTGGATCTGAGCTGTGTAATGGCGTGTCATCAATCAAAATTGACAGTTGCGAAGTCGTAACTCGGCCATAATATCTCTCTAGCCCCGGTGACCTTTTGGCCTTATAGGGTAAATGGTGCGGTGTTACTGATAGCACGTGTAGTACTCCGAGATGAGACTAAAAGCTCACCAGACAAAACAACTATGGAGTCTATCGGGGGGTGTATGGAATGAGCTGAGATGAAGAGCTAGAAGCAAAAACTGAGGTAGCTGTAATGATTAATTGTGAACCATTGGGCGAAAATTACTTATAAAATTTATCCTCTTCGACTTCGAAATTTATTAGTCCTGAAAAGCCACTATTAAATGAATTGCCGCATACCGGAGTATTCCCAAAATCCGCCCAGGGCGGTTACACGGAAAATTCCATTTTTCGAAACTATTATTTAGAACTAAATAACCGCCCATCCGAATAAGTGGTGGCTGAAAAGGCAGCATTTCTTCATCATCATCTCTTGAAAGGTTGCAGTATGTGTAAGTTTCGCAGCATATTGGATGGCAAATATTTGGCCTCGGCTAACTGAGAGCGAAAAACTTTTTCACGGACTAAAAATGACATTCCCCGACTAAATATACACTTGGGCATTTAAATAGTTATTGATCAACACACACCCTCGTGTACAAATGCTAATGCAAATTTTGCACACGATATGTACTATAAAAGTGCGTTTTGTATTGACTGACCTTCATGGAGCGTTATTTATAAGCTGTTAGAGGTTAAGTTATTTCAATAATTCAGGTAACCATGATGAGCAACAGTGAAAGCCAATAAGCACAATCCTGCTGAAGAACTGACGAAGGCTTAGAAGCAGTTTGTGGACCAATGGGGAGCTGTTGAGGAGGAATAGAGTTACCTTCAAGGGCATTTAGCTTATAAATTTAGTGGCAGGATAGTCAAATTCCTCCCAATTTGCCATATCTCATGCTTGAAGCCCTTTCCCACCTTCTAACCTCTTGCAGGACTTTATGTTATATCAATACTCCACGTGGTACACCCTGGGCAACGTTTACTCTTACGGCAAAAAAAGTCTATTACCTGGCAGTTGACTTCTGATTTCAAGCTACTATGACTCCACTGTATGTCATATTTGACTACTTTCACAGTACTCACCTCACCCTCTTTCTACCTTTTCTACCATCGTCTTTGAAACACTCTTCTGTCCCACCCCCTCTCTCGACTTTTTCACTTTGATGTTCCTTCCCCTCTGTGAAGCCTGAAGTCAACTAAAGGGCTAATGATAACTATCATAACGCCTGCCATTTGATATAAATAAATGCCATATCAATAAGATGTCCTTTAAGGAAGGATTTACTCTTGATAACTATCATAAAGCAATAGTTATGCAATTGGAAACCACAGAGTAGCCGCACTTGTTTAAGCCAACATTCCAATTCGGACAATGGGTAGAGTTTGCATGTGTGGGTTTCGGTCGAAACAGGATTTGCATTAAGTGTCAACTCACACATTTTAACCAAGACTTCTTCATCTCTTCATACTGCAATTCAACACGTGATCAAGTATGAATGCTTCTCAAGGAACTATTAAGCAATTGAGGAGAATCCTAACCATCGAAGGGACATGCAGATTGGCTATCTGGGAGTTGCTTGGCTACGGACTTTCAGGAAAAGAAGAACTAGAATTATTAGCAGTTCCGCCGTTTTTCCAGACTGAGTAGATATTGGAGGGCCAACTTGGAAGAAAGAGAGAATTCTCGATCAGGGTTCGATATGCAAGCTGTTATCCTTGTTTTTCCTCCACCAGGCTTTGTTGTGGTGCAAACAGAGCGTCTAGCGCATGCTCGACCGGAACAGCACCCCCCCCCCCCCCCCCCACCCCGATGAGTCATGTGTGAAAGCCAGGACAATAACGTCACTCCAGTGGAATTAAATTTGATTTTCCATCCCTCCTCTCGCTGATTAGTGACATGAAAAAGAAATACGAGTCGCCTAACGTATTACTATTGTCATTTATATCAAAATAATAGCGGCCTTTGAAGCGGAAACTATTGACAATACTGCTTCAATATAGGGGAGGGGGGGTTGGAAAATCAGGTTTATTTCAAAGGTTCCGTGTTTATTAGTATTTATAGGTCGCATTCTTCAAGTGGAGTTTGGTGCTATCTAGCATAACGTAAAACCCGGTGTTTGATCGAGGTATGCGTCATTAAGGAGGAATGAAATTGGGTCAATTAATATCGATTTTACCTAGTCGTCCAGTGTCTGCCTTACTCAAATTAACTTTCAAGTCAAGTCGCATTGCTAAAGACACATAAAAAGTATTTTCATTCTCGAGCCAATTATAATAGAACACTGGATACATTCTAATCGGGAAATGACAGTCCTTCAACTCTGTAGTGGTTGGCACGTAAATAAGCCATGACTAAACCTAGACAATCTTTATGGCAAAAAACCCCCTCAACATTATCGAAGATACGGAGTGCATGGTGGTGTGATCGTGAGTCATAGCACAGAGCTTTTTCATTAAAATACGATTTCGATAGTATGCAGAAACTATTGATGGTTGGTTGACTGCGGGGCCTCTGGACTCACGACAGAACTTACTCTCTTACGCTATCAGCAGCACCTTCCAGACTGTTCGAGAGCGCACATAAGTCCTTGGGGTTCAACTATGTTTATCGTGGGGACAACGATTTTGTAATGCATGGACCGGCCGATGTCTTCACAAGAGAGAATTCCAGACCTCAAGGTTCAACGAACTCAAAGCTACAGAATTCCAGACCTCAAGGTGCAACGAACTTAAAGCTCGGACAATGGAGAAACAGTGGACAGTGGCACTCTCCGACTGGTTAAGAAACGAAGCCGTTGCTGAGTTTAGACTACGTACCGGACACGATTGCTTGGCAAAACACCTTCACAGATTGGGAGTATACACTCAACCCACATGCCCCCTATTTAATCCACAAGAGGAAATGGAGAAGACCCACCTGATTCGGTGTCCAGCCCTAAAGACAGCGAGGGAAACCCAGAGATACTGGGAAGCAAGAAGACAGCTAATGAACTGCTATTAATTAACTGCTATAAATGTACTCCCCACCCTTGGGGAAGCTGAAGTCAAAGTTTAAGGGCTAATGATAAATACCACAAAGCCTGCCATTTGAAAAAAAACTATGTTTATCGTCGTGTTCTCCACACCCTCCTCCCCCACCATCTGGTCATCGAATTTGTGTTGAAAAATGCCTGACCCCTAATCAATACACACAAAAAAGGAGTATTTGACCTCTTGGATTTTGATCAATTTACAAATTCCCACCTCCCCCCCCCCGCCTCCTTTAAATTTGTTTTCTTTCCTATTTTTATTTGTCCCGTTTTATATTCACTTGTGCCAACAAGGAGATCATTGCTGATAGGATCACAAGGTACTGAAAGTCGTAATTCTATCAGCAAAGAAGTTACAATTACTTTAAAGTGCTGTAAATTTTGTAATTACTCGGCAGACAAAATCTGGCAAATGGCAACCCTGAGATTCATTTTAATTACCGGAGGAGTGGGGGGTGAGGGGGGGGACAATTAAAATGATGTGTGCGACAACTTGAAGTCGGTTAATTTCTTGTAAATCCATTATATATATATACCCAGGCTCCCTGAAGGAAGTTTATTAGGCTCATCTAAACAAAGGGTGGCACCACGGATCCATGTGAACTTTGAATAAAAAAATACTTTTAATAAAGTTTTAGGTGAAGAATGGGAGAAAGAAGACTCAGTCGAATTCAGGCTAGAAACTAGGATTTCTGAATGATTTTAGGTACCAAGTGAGTTGAAATCGACATAGATGACAGCATTCAAGGGAAAAGTGAATGCGAGTTCATCTAATCTAAGTGCATTCCTTTCGAATTTATGGCGTCTTTTGGGAAAATTTTCAATCTGCTCAAAATAGCAAAGTCTAGAAAGGCGTTTGCCATACTCAATAAATATATGCATGGATTAAATATCTAACTCTCCATTTTCATTTGGCAGTACCGAAACATCCCCCTCCCTCCCTCCACTTCACCAACCTCTCAACTAAGTGAGATGGAGTTGCCATCCCAAAGCTTTGGCTGACTAGGTAGTCTGCAACCTTCGACATCCTTATCCTTCACAACAAGGATACAGAGTGCTTGAGATAAATTTGATAGTCTCATCGTAAACAATGAGTAGGGGGTGGGGATTAGGAAGTATACTAGATTTATAAGATTACCCTCCTGTGCCAAGGATTTCTACTCGAAATGTTCGCTTCCATGTGTGTCTAGAGCGCGCCTATTGTTCATTCGGAGTGACCCCATCTCTTCAACCCCCAATCCCAAATAGAGAAAAGCTGAAAGACAGCACTTTAACTTTTACCACATTAAAATAGCCTTTCGGCATACCCCGGTAATAAGGATTTTCAGTTGGCTGGCCTCACAAATGTAAAAAGTGACAATTTATCAGAGTCCAACTTATCAAAATAAGTTAATTCTAAAATTTATTAAACCTTTACAGACACATACACGCACGCACACACACACAGGCGCTTAAGGGCAAATGGAACACAGCGATTTTTTAAACAGTGTCGAATCTCTACCTTCCATTTCTCACCAGAAAGACTAACAAGTAATTGGAGAGGGCGGAGAGAAAAGGGAAGGAAGGTACTAGGAAAGATACAAGTTAATAGCGCATATAGCCAATAGTAGGTAAAATTTACACGTGCCAGGTGACTCTGCTATACACACCAACACAACGCCCTAGAATCGAGTTTCCCGCGAATCGGCTATTCTTGACATGGAGGGCGGTTCGGAATGCCTTCCGGAGAGCTGAAATACAAAGAAAAGGTTAACAACCGAGCCATTTGAAGCAGGAATACATGTGGAAGAGGAGGACTTACTCTATTCAAAGAGCTTCTATGATGAAGTCGATGTCGTTTCGGTTTCACGACAGCAACTGCAGCAGGATCGTTTTCCAGGCCATTTTCATTTTCATCAACTTCTCTAGTATCAACTCTCAGGTCGTCTTGTTGAATGTCAGACTGAACTAAATTGGAGATACTCGCCCTTCGGTGTCGACTACGACGTTCAGGTTGAGACCCGGCAACGCGAGACCCTTCTGTGAAACGAGCGTAGGAGAATTCTGGATCTGAGGCAGTGACAAGGAAGTCATCATCTGAAACACGATCTGCAGTCTCATGAGGTACTTCTAAGTCAGAGTCGGAGTTTGTGAAAGTAGCTGACTTTGTGAGGTCGGCAAATCGTTTGAAATGATGATGTCCATGGTGATGGTACTGACTGCGTTTGTCTTTGATGGATCCTGAGGAAGCATAGAGCCACTGCTCGGCCATGGAAAGAACATTGGTATCTTCGGGTTTGTCGAAAGCAGTGGAACCCATCGCTAGGTGGGAAATACGTTCGGGGTGAAGTCGAAGCCATGTCTTGCACCATTCTCCATCGAAATCTGAAACGGGAAAAAAGAAATCATGAATACGAAGAGAAACAAGAAATACGACATACAACTTCCTTGTGACTACCATATTTGGTTACTAAAAGCTCCTAAGCATTCTCAATGCGTCTAGAATAACCTACCTCAATGTTTGTATTCGTATATATGCTAGTGAAGAAATCGATTTTGTATGATTGATTGCCCATTCATTCAGCGTAATAGATCTTACGAAGATAGGAGCCAAGTGTATTTCGGAACGTTTGGGATGGAAAAATATCTTGATTCCGCACAGATGAGCAACTCACATTCCACCATCCTAAAATTGCCCCATTTATAAAGAGAGGGGTTCGCTTGTGACCTTTGGCTTTACGAACTACACCATTGGCATGCAGTCTTTTACGATACACCCACAATTTCCACACCTTGGAGACTTAAAATGTACCCATTAAAGTATATTAAACCTGGTAGGAAAATAGCCGACTCCTCATTCCAATTGAGATCGAAATTAAGCGTGTGCAGAAAGCATGCCCATTGTCTCCGATAACCTTAAATTTCTTGCCTTCAAGTGGACGATTAACGCAGACGAGATTCTACTCACTATCTCATCTCATCTCCAGATATATTTACAAACTAGTCTAGTGCTTACTATTTGATCAAGACGTAATAATCCCATGTCTAGCAAGGAATAATAGGTATTATTATGGTAGGTATGGGGTGTACGATAGACTTACCTCCACGTGGTGCATCCTAGGCAACGCATATTCATACGCCAAAAAGTCTATTACCTGGCAGTTGATTTCTCACTTCAAGCTACCATGACCCCGCTGTATGTCATATTCGACCACTTTCACCATACTCACCTTACCTTTCCTCTGCCTTTGTGTCTGTCTGTCTCTTTTACATCTGTGAATCACTCTTCTGTTCCCCCCCCCCCCATCGAATGTTTTGCCACTCTGCTTGTTTTCCCCTCTGTGGAGTCTGAAGTCAACTAAAGGGCTAATGATAACTATCAAAACGCTTGCCATTTGAAATAAATGAGTAAATTATGGTAGGTATGCATTCTGGTATTCGATCCCGCACATTGTGACTTGACTGAAGTGCATATCACATCATTAACAAAGGCGACTATACTTTAAAACATCGCATTCAATAGACACCGACGAAAACAACGTACTTAGATTTATACTATTTCCCGTTTACCAAGCATTCAAACCTCTCCGTTATCGATCGGGAGTAACCACTTTTATTCTAAATCTAGAGAACTAGTATTCCTCGAAACCATTTTGAACCTTAATAATACGGAGACGACACATACCTGGAAGGATACGATCTTCAGTCGATTCCATGGAATGTTTGGGTGAGAGATTCTGAAGACTTCCACGCCGCTGAAATAATAAAATGCATGGAAAACCACATTGAATTGATTCAAGACACCAGAGGGTGGGGTGGGGTGGGGAGGGGGGAGTGGGATATATTAAAATGAACCACCTTAAAACTTACTCGTTTAATAGGAACTTCAACATTATCAGAATTGAACAAACGCGATTTCTGTTTCCCTGCACTGTCCTTAGCCGGTGTGCCACCACGGTCATCTGATTTAGCAATACCGCATGAAATAGAACGAGACTTCCTATGGAAGCTACTAGATCCTAAACCAGTTGAGAGTACACTGTTTGATCTGGCGCGTTTGTAGAGAGCAGGGATCATCTTTTGGAATTCACCAGTTTCATTCCAAGAGGACAAAACCTCCTTGCCGTAGTTATATCCAACAGACTGACGTAATAAGATGAAAAAAACCTCTAATTATGAGACCGTTTTTAAATGGATTAAAGTGAAGCGAAGACACTTGCCACAATCTCCTCAAAAGCGGCGAATTGGAGGGTCTGGAATTTATCGATCGGTGGTCGAAGATAGTGGCAGATACCACTGGCTTTCACCTCCTCTAATTGACGAATACAGGAGATGTATGCCAGTCGAGACTGAATTTCTGTGAAGTTTGGAACCTGTAGAGATTGAAAAAAACGGTGAATAGACGCAAAGCCATCGTTGAATAATAGTGATCTGTTGTTAAATTCAGCGAGGAGACAAGATGAAGAACAGAAACGCACTTGAGTAGCTGTGACAGATTACTGCGAAATCAAGAGACTATGACAAATCTCGGATACAATTAATTTGATTAAAGTCAAAATCAAGGGGTGTGCGATAGACTTACCTCCACGTGGTGCATCCTGGGCAACGTATATTCATACGGCAAAAAAGTCTATTGACTGGCAGTTGACTTCTCACTTCAAACTAAAATCACCTCACTCGATGCCATATTGGAACATTTACACAGTACTCACCTCACCTTTGTTCTACCTTTGTGTTTGTCTCTTACATCTTTGAAACACTCTTCTGTCCCCCCCCCCCCCTCTTGACTTTTTTCAATTTGATGTCCCTTCCCCTCTGTGAAGCCTGAAGTCAACTAAAGGGCTAATGATAACCATCAAAACCCCTGCCATATGATATAAATAAGTCAAAATCGAAGAGAGGAATTAGGATGTACGCATTTATACCATTTGTCCAATTAGATTGTGAATTTATCATAGTAGCAGGGTAAACACGGCTTATTTCGCGAATAGAGGAGGGGCAATATCTCTTTATATTGTAGTTTTTGGCAACTATAATAAAAACGGGGAAACATTTGACAAGTTTTAGTAGAAATCAACCGCACTCTTAGTCTAGTGTTCCATTCCGCAGTTGGTTATGCCACATCAATTCACTTGCCCAATATTGCAGATAAGGATAGGATTATGAAACTAATAGTACCCTCTCCACAGCAGAAGTCATTAGAGCTCAGTGAATGCGCTTATTCTACCTCACAAACTAACAGCGTCACGCCGTCTTATCGAAGCGATATTCAGCCAATTTTCAAATCAAGTTGAATAAGGAAAGAAGAAGAGGTTTTGCAATTTTAAATCCTTTCTGAATTTCAACAATAACCCTTACTGCGACTTTAATATCTAGTATCAAGCCTCCCTTTGAGTCAAGAGGATTCGCGTATAATAACAGACCTTCTACTGTCAATCTAAAGAGTTGCATAAAAATAGTGTAATCATATTAGCACTGGTCAAGACATGCCCCTTATACCCGCTTGAATCCAATACCTTTCACAACATTATCTTCTACACCGAATAAATAGAAGAGATTTAAAGAGAATAGATTGGAGCTAACCTTGATGGGTGGTCCCCAGCATCGAAAGAATCTCTGATAGATTAACCACCAGCCGGAAAGCCAGTCCCCATAGTTTGTGAGATTTGTTTCATAGACCGAGCCAACATCGACAGCATATATTGTTTTTGCACCAAGGGCAGACATTACATCAGCTGAAAGCGCAAAAAAGTGGCGGTTAGATGAACAAATTTTCGGTAGAGAGAGAGAAAGAGAGACAGACAGACAGAGAGAGAGAGATGAAACAAACAACGACACCAATAATGAGGTGGATAATAATTAGGGAGGGGGGGGGGTGAGCAGGGCGAGTGCACGGTGAGTAAGCAAATGACATGTTTCGTGGAGGAGTGGAACTCATGCCCTGAATAGCTAAATAATTAACTGTTAAAGATAAGCATAATTGCAGACAGACCAAAGGACAGTGCGTGTTGATCTTCACAAGGTGGTCAATAAACGAGACAGCAAGCATGACATAACTTCCAATGCAACGTCCTAGGGTTCTAGCAACTACAGAAAGGTTAATCGCGACTAACATCCACGTCTACGAGGTCAGAGAGGTGGTGGAGGACTCGATGCATAAAGCGAAAAATACTAGGCATTGAGAAGCTTCTCATTGGAGTCTTCATGGTATTCCCACTAATCAAGATGGGGGGGGGGGGGGTGTTGAGGCCTGAAAGCTATTTACTAATCATAACAAGAGGAGAGTGTAAGTATAAGAATTATTAGGAAAATTAAGTTGGCCTGCCTTGAGAACCATTCAGCAGCTCCTTTGCTTTTCAATTGCTATTAAACATAGAACTATGGTCTAGAGGAGTTGGTGCAGAAACCAGCAGTAAGGATATTTAGACAACTAGCATGAATTCCCAAATAAGACAGGCTTCTGCCAATGCCATATTCACCACACCTTCAAGCGGTCTCAGGCAGAAGTCAATTGAAACGATGTTCTGCTATGAGGGGTAGAGAAAACAACAGCGAAAGCACATGAAATAAGAAAAGCAAGTTGTCGTTTTATCAACACAAAGAAGAACAAACACTATTCTGTTGTCAAGGCAGCTATAGATCGAAAAGTTCGAGGAGATGCTCAATAATGATAGGCAGGGAGGGTGTAAGCATCCGAGAAACAACAGCAGGGGAAGCGAGGCCGGAAGTGAACGTGCAGATGCATAGCGAATTAATGGGTTAAGGAAGAGATAACATCGTGAGGACCTTTGGGTTGACAACTCACCGGGCACATTGTTGACATATCCCCCGTCAAGGAGATAACTGCCATCTACCGGATCACATAACGGTGGCATATAGCCTGACAGAGACATACTCGATCGAACGTAGCGCCAAAGCGAGCCTACAGAGCGAGCGAGCGATTGATTGATCGATTGATTAATTTAAACAATAGAGACACAGCCAATCATCGGAAGCGCAGAAAAGAGGAGAATAATTAAGGGCAATATTTAATGATAGCACCCCTTATTGTGTCTGTGCGCCTCAACCCTACCCACCGAATTACGGGAAAGGGATAAGAGAGAAGGGAGCAGATTTCTACCTGGAAGGATATTGACGAAGACTCCATCGACAAGCAAGCTGCCATCAGATGGGTCACAGAGAGGAGGTAGTAGGATCGGGTAGGTCATACTTGATCGTACGTATCTCCAGATTCCACCTTTCAGAGTATTGAACCAATCATGGGTAAATTAGGAAGAAGAGGTGAACAAATGGAGGGTTTTACATAGGCGTCCTCACTCTCACTCTTTCTTTGCTACCGAGAGGCTGCTGCTACACGAAGGGGGGGGGGAGGGGGGAGAGGTTTAGAACTTACCACTTGTGTGCACACGCATCTTGCAATTGCTGATGTCAGTTGTTATGCAGAAGTAAGGCAACCAGAGGTCTTCAATTTGACGATCTTTAAAAGTCGCTTCAATATGGGCGTTGAATTCATAGCCTGAAGAGTTGCAAAAAATGGGGTTTGAATTATAATCGATAGAATTGATAGTCGTCTTTTGTTTTTTTTGTAGCAATATCAGACTCTCAAGACGATTGGAGCAGATAAATGTCGATAAAATGGCAGGGTATTTGAGAAAATGGAAGGACGTGCTGCAAGGTTGGATCATCTCGACCTCATCGTGCAAACACTGACAAAACCTAATCGCGAAACAGGTCCAAACTGATGTTGAAGATGTCCGATAAATCGAACGACATGGTGTTAAAGGCTTAAAAATGGCTTGGTAAGTTGTGAGTAAATGAACTAATTTATATTACGACATTGCGATAGACTTACCTCCACGTGGTGCACCCTGGGCAACGTATACCCATGCGGCAAAAAATTCTATAAACCGGCAGTTGACTTCTGAGTTCAAGCTATCATGACCCCAATATACGTCATATTCGACAACTTCCACAGTACTCACCCCACCTTTCATTTACCTTTGTGTCTGTCTCTTTTACATCTTTAAAACACTCTTCTGTTCACCCCACCTCTCGACTTTTTTCGATTTGATGTTCCTCTCCATCTGTGAAGCCTGAAGTCAGCTAAAGAGTTAATGATAACTATCATAGAGCCTGCCATTTGATATATATATATATATATATATATATATATATATATATATATATATATATATGTATATATGTATATATTACGCTAACTAAGAGAAATCTTAAAAAAGCCAAAGACAGGTTCGGTCACGAATGAGGCGGACGGGAGGGGAATAATTAGGAAAAATGAATGGGTAATTACCAGAGAAAAGGGAAACGGTAGGATATGTAATATCCCGTAGTTTTGGCCAGATAGATTTGAAGACAATGGCAAAGTCTCGGGAGCGTTGGGAGAGTTGGGCAACACGAGTCTCTTCGGCCCACATTGCTCCGATCAAGGCGCCAATACTTGTTCCTCCCACCATGTCCACAGGGATACCGGCTTCCTAGGAAAAGAAGAGTCAACAAGTTAGAATTGCCGTGGTGACGTAGCGGTGAACATGCTCCTCCATATAGTTAGAGATCATGGATTCACATCCAACAGATGTTAAAGAAGATATGTAAGTTATTATCGATCGGGCGTTTATATTTGAGTGGCCAGAACGCAATCTTTTCCAAGGATAACCTCGTGGAAAACAGCATTCAACGGAAAAAATCTATCGATACTAGTATGTGGCATGAAAGCACTTGCTGATCATTGCGCCTATAGAACAGCGATTTCACTGGAAATGTAAAATAGTGCCGTCTTCCATGTGAAGCTTCGCGCGCGGTTGGCAACTTCGCGATTCACTACGACTGTTCGAGTTTTCCTTGAGATGGGCATTTATGCTCTAAGATACGTGAATCGACGTTGTAGGCTATTTTAGCCATGACATGGCCAAAATCTAGCTTTGCATTAGCCCAATATATCATTAAGGAAGTGGATATGGGATAATACAGAACCGGATTCACTCTACAGTCGCGTGGAAACACCACAGTTCTCAGAAAATGTCACCTATGCCGGAATCAGAATGGACAAACGAGGACGCCATAGGTACACTCTAGGGAGAAGGACTTTTTCTCTCAATTACTTGCAATTGTACCACGCTGACTCCACCCCCCCCCCCACACTTTTTGAACGTGAAACTACACATATCTTGAGTATCACAAAAATCTAACGCATATGCAATAATAAAACCAAATCTTTTTTTAATTAATCCACTTAGACTTTGCCCATCTATTTTTAGAAGGTTATAGCAATGGTCACATTTCGAAATTGCTGAATCACGAACAACCAATATACGACCCTTGAGCTATCTAACTAAACAAAGTGATTTTCGAGAAATGGGGAGCGCGATAGACTTACCTCCACGTGGTGCACTCTGGATAACGCATACTCATACGGCAAAAAGTCTATTAACCGACAGTTGACTTCAACCTACCATGACTCCACTGTGAGTCACTCCCCCACTATCACAGTACTCACCTCACCTTACATTTCCCTACCTTTATGTCTGTCTCTTTTACCTCTTTAAAACACTTCTGTTCCCCCCCCCCTTTCGAACTTTTGTAGCTTTGATCTTCCTTCTCCTCTGTGAAGCCTGAAGTCAACTAAAGGGCCGATGATAATGATTGAAACGCCTGCCATTTGATACAATTTTCGAGAAATAAACAATAAATAGTCCTTTTGAAAAAAAAAATCGTGTTTCTAAATCATCTCATTTTCTACACAACAGACCTATAAACCTCAAAAATAAAAACAAATACGGATGCACATTTTTTAGATGAAATGGAGTCGCATAATGTGACTTCTACCAACCCTCGCTACACCATACCAAATTCTTAGATTTAACTGCAGCACACGCGTGACTACTCAACGGGAGGGATCATTCAAAACTTCAATCAATGACTCAGGAATGACAGAAAAGAACAGCTCTTCTTGGCAATCACATTTCACTTATTTCCCGCGTAAGGGGTCTCTCTCTCGCGCCCTCCCTCCTTCCTCTTTTCTACTAATTGGACAGAGTTCAACCAACACAACTCTACACCTACCCATTTCTCATAGGCCCTTAGGAAGAACATCGCCAAGTCAAAATTTGTCGGCTTTGAATGTAACTGCATCGAATGGATTAAGGCTGTCTTATAGTATGCATAAATAAAGTACAACTCACTTGAAGAACACGAATAACACCAACGTGAGCGCCTCCTTTAGCGCCACCACCTCCAAGAACCAACCCAATAGCCTGTCCGGTGAGATATCTCGCCAATCTCGACATATCCGAGTGAGGATTTGGCGCCTCCATGAGGAATACTTTGCTGTAAAATGATATCAAGTTTTTCACCGTCGGATTAAGCACACGAGGAGGACATCTGATATGGTAGTGTTGGGTGACCCAAGGGCGTGCATTCAACCACGCTGCCGTCCGTTTTACAGGTGGGTACTCAGTCTCTAGAGGATAGAGAAGAACAAGGATCTTAGTGACCTTTGTTGAGAGATAATTCATGGCTTGTTCGACTGGAGATAGACGAGTTGGATCAGAGGATGAGGCAAGAGCTAATAGGACGACGCAGTCAGCTTGTCTAAGACACCGACGTGTCCAGGCTGTGGACGGTGTACCAGGGCCATCGGTGATGTAAAATACCATTCGATGGAGATCTTCCTGATGACTCAGCCAAGAGCAGAGGCGGTACTCATTAAGGGACTCAAAAGCATGGTCTCCTAGACGTTTCTTGACAATGTCTACGGACAGAGAGAAAAGATATCTATTATGAAATGGTAACTCCCAGCACGAATTAAATAGACTTCACAAGGAGCCAAGAAAACGAATAAATGGTCGATTCATGTGAATGGTAAAATATGCAAAATGGCAATACAAAACAATCACATTTATTTCCTTGCGAACCACGTCAGCTTGCACCATGCTGATAGTTCAAAATGCGTAAATGAAATTGTATTACCAATGGTAGAGTTTCGAGTTAGTGATGCTTGTTATAGTAAAGTCATGTAAGCTAGTAATTAGCCGATTATAACAACTAAAGTCTCTGCAACCCCCCAAGATGGGAGTTGTATCATCATCATCATCATCATCATCTAACCTTTTAAATTTGGTGGATTTTTGGTACAGGAATTCCTCTCCATTCAGACGAATTTGAACTGGATGAGATAAAAAAATGGAAAGTAACACCTACATACTTAGTCCATTTTCAATTAAACAATCTCTTTCAAAAAAAATAGCAGGGAGTAGAGTTCTAGGGATGACTATTACATCGCATACTGTTTATCGCATGTCCAAACAGGCCTGCTAGTTAGCGTAACTAAATGAATGCAATAAGACCTGAAATGGTGCAATAGACCACTCAAAGGAATCCAGAGGCCGCTAATACGCCATCACTCGGGAAACCAGGGGGTGGGGGGAGAAGTTGTTTCCCTTGGCCAATAGTCAGAGAAATGCAAGAAGAAAGACGGCTTATTAGGCAACTAACTTTACTGTCTTATTCAACTTGGCCACTTTCACTTAACCTCCTACTGAGCGGCATCGGCTCTTCACTGTGCTCAGATATATTGAAGTTTTGAACACTTTTGCCCTGCCGAAGGTAATAAAATGCGAGCCGTAGAGCACGTTACAGCTAGGGTAAAGCAACTAATTTCACAACAGTGAGGACACACTTTCTCCTGCATTAAGAGCGAACTAATGAGGCACTATGGGAGAGCATGTTTTTTGAAGAGGTCAAAAAACACGCTCACTTGCTCTTACACATGTGCCCCCCCCCCAACCCCCTTTATCCTTGTCTCGAACACTTTTCCCACTTTTCAAGTCCTAATAAGCCTTAATGCCATTGTATTTTAAATTTAATTATTTAGAGGATGTTCTGTGATAAAATTATATGTGAACTGCGCTTCCTACAAGAAGAATAATGCACACACACCGGAAGTGAGTCGAACTGTCGATCCAAATACAGACACAGCATGCTGCAGCTCCAACGTGAATGCTTCCGTATTGATATCCGGTGAAGTGGGGAGAATAGCAATCGCGCGAAGATTCGTCATTACTCCCCCACTTCCAGCCGCGTTGAGCTGAGAATGTTGAAGAACTCCTCCGACACCAAAGTCGGTACCGGGACCTGCTGTGAATGGCACGAAGGAAGTCTGACCGCCTTCAAGAATTCCATAGCTAGTTGGCTGCATTAAACGATCGGACAGAAGTTGGATGAAACGACTAACTGGATGAGGGGTCAGACGCTTGAGCCAGTTGAGGAGGATTGAGGGAATCTTCACAACTTCCGAATCACTAAATGAAAAGATACAGACTAATCAATATATACTGATACATTAGCAAACAGAAATCTACTAAAATTGGTAAGATTTAACTAGAATGAAGGTAGAGAAGTTGCCATCGATACACTAATGGATGACTGGGCTAATAACGAAAAATTAATGTTTAAACTAAATATTTGGCTAAAAATGCAAGGATGACCGGCCATAATGCTGATCCATCTGCAGGAGTGATGAAAACTGAGCTTAATGAAACTAGTAAAGTTAGGATATGTTAATCTGCTCCTTACCTTAGATGTGCCATCACAAATCAAATTCAGTTACCAAAACGAAGAATATATAATATTCTTTGCTAGTTAATCAAGAATATGGATCTCGTTACCTGATAACTTAAATCCAAAACGAACAAGAATATGCGACGAAGATTAATTAGAGAGCAAAAAACCCTAAATTGTAAAAATAGTAATTCTAAAATAAAAAAACAATTGACAATGAAGGTAGGAAGACGCAAATCTAGACGTCCATCAATCACATTTATTACCAAAACAAAAATCGATTCACATTTAAGCTATTAACATCGTGCAAACTCGAGCTGGGTAAGATTTACAACCCCTTAATGGAAAGGAAAGCAATAATTTCGAGAGAACTAAATGGGAGTTATTATCTCGAGATGTGGAGAATCGAAAACAAACGCATTGAACCAAAGCCACCCTATTATTTTCAAGTTACACTGGCTAAACTAGTTGAGGTCTTCAAAATAGTTTCCATTTTCCATCACTTACCGAATAGCGAGGACCGTATTCATCCTAGGTTTGGCACTAGTCACTTCAATGTACCCCAAGAAGGCTCCACGACCAGATTCGGCAATAACATTGTGAGTACCGTCAGGATTTGTATGAAACTCACGGAAACGGCCATTGAGTACCACATAGATGTAGTTTGAACTGTCGCCTTGTCTTAAAGAGGAAGTGAATCCATCCATAACAATTTCTGGGTGGGGGGGGATACGGAAAAGTCAGTAAGAACTTACTTATAGAGAACCTTTCCTGCGCCAACACCATGCCATTCAAGAGCGAAATCTGCAATTCTGAGTAGGCGTGAGAGTTTTCGGTTAACAAGATAAGCAGCGTTGATAAGAACTTGAGGATAAGCTCTAACCAGACGGAAGAAATCATCTCGTCCAAGGACTGCGACATAAGAAGCTGTTATGGCTTGTGCGTTGCAGTTATTGGCCTCTCCTGTGATCAAACCCATTAGACCAACAAATTCACCAGGTGAAGTGTGAAGAACTGGCACAGGCGATGTAGAACCCTGTTTTGGGGGGGGGGGGGGGGGGGGGGAAGGTAGATAGAGGAAAGTGGTTATAAATGCCTCAAACGCTACAAAGCAGTAAAAAGGTATTTAAAATCTAAAATCGATCATTGACGGGGGCGGAATCAACATTTTATTGATGAGGGGTGCATCCGAGAAGTTCTGAAGTAAAATGTAATACGTAACTTCCACTGGTATCCGAACATGATGAAAATGGTGACCCACCACTATATCGCGCAACCACTATTGCTATTCACATTGCTTGAAGTGCTCCGATGAACAACTACCTTGAGAGCGGACTTGGTAGATACTAAATGTGACTAGCTCATTACTATTCTATCCTAACGACATGGATGTAATGCTCGAACATTGAGTGGAAATGTTTCCCACGTCTGGTTATGAGACGGAGGGGATTTTGGAGTCTTGAAAATTCTAGACACTGGATATGATCAGAACTTAGTGAAAAAGAAATTGCCTCATGAATTAGAGCGTGACATAACGTGAGGAGAGTAATGTCCTTTCTAAAGGTAACTAGCATAAAGACATTAAACTAGATTTAAGCATTCATGCCTGGAGCAATTCCTAATTGCCTCTCCCAAGTCGAGTGTGTGATATCCCGCATCATTGACTAAAAACGGAATTAAAAACGATGCAGTAAACAAAAACGCCTTTGAATCACCAAAGAAAACAAGTTCCAGATTCATTGAACCGTAACTAAGCACACACACACACATCTGGATTTTGAACGTGAATCAGACCTTTTTCAAAATTTTCTCTAGGACGTATGTGCCAATTTTACGATTATAACCTGCTACACAAAATACAAGAATATTTTCTCCCCTCCCACCCCCCACCCCCTTCCCCCCCCNCCCCCCCCCCCCTTCCCCCCCCCCCTCCTCCCCATTTCCTTGAGGCACTTGCTCATTGTTTAATTTTAAGTTATATCCGAGGTACTAAGTCAAAATAAATCAGACAAAAACCAGCGATAACGCCCTATGTTTGCAGAATTACACACAATATCTTGTGACCTGTGGTATCCAATTATCTTAATCAATCAACAACTAGAACCAAGATCTACCAGTGTGAATTTGCTGGCTAACTGCACTCAATGATAGTGCTACAATTGAGTTAACCTCGCCGCCTTAAATCATAACTCTCAAAAATGGCATGGTTTTAAGACACAAAAACGGCCTATGCAATATATACATACTTTCGTTTCATCAAATGAAAATTGGATGTTACTCCATGCATTGGAGGTTAAGGACACATGGTGTGATATTTGAGTCATACAAACCAATAGCTCAATAACTTAATGCGAGTTTATCTAACAAATTGACGAGTAGTGAAAGCGGGTTTTTTGTTCAATAAAGCATCCGGAAATTAATCCGAATACCCTATTTAATGGAGTATGCAACAATGCATTGCAACTACGTGAAAACTTTAAATTCAAAATTTTAGATTAGCTTGAAAAATGCTCCTTCGCCAAAAGTGAACTTCTTTAAGCTCTCAAGAAGCACGAGGGTAAAATGAGCCAAAGTAATAACGATAATTACTCACACGAGAGAGAAATATCAGAGAACATTACCTATCAAGTGCAAAAAAAGGCGTCGCTGGGGGTTATAAGAGTGTCACTAAAGCCCAGGCATTCATGTATTTATAGCCTTCACCAAATTGGTCTCAAAAGATAACGCCCCCCCCCTCACTTTTCTGGTGATCGAAATTGGCAATATATACGAACTGTATAAAGCTAAACGCTTATCATTTTACATAAAAAACCACGCTGAGATTTGCACAGAACAAACGCTTTGGCTATCAAAACTTAATAACACAATTTAAAAGAGAACGAGAGAGAGAGAGCCAAGAGCACAGATGCTGACGTCACCACACAGCCACAGAAGGTGGTGCCAGCTTAGACAATCTAAAAACACGAGAAGCGAAGAAAATGCTGAAATAAAACTCACGGGACCAGCAACTGAGGGAACTTGAGTAATCACAAAGCCTCCCGAGAGGATATAGTACAGAGAGGATTGGAGTTCTCCCTCTTTCGAAATGAATTCTCCCTTTGACACCTCAGTAAGAGTTAGCATACCATCATTGAAAGCTGTTGATCCTTCAGGGATGCCAAAAAGTCGTGCAAGATCCTTTTCGGCAGCTCTAATTAGTGCCCTTTGAGCAGAAGGAGTTAATCCGACAGAATCCTTGCGATTAGTACACAGTTTATTTGCAGTGGCAGCTTCGCCAAGTTCAAGGAGCTTTGTGACAGAATTTGCAGACACCAACGTACCGACCACCTCGAGGCTATTGGGATTAGCATCAAGGTGCTTTTCAGAGGAAAAATCCCTTGGCCTTGAAGTCCTGGCAGATTTTTTACTTCCAGTGTTTGTGGGCTTGGAAGGCGGCATCAGGTGATCGGCATTTGGTGTTCCAGTGGGCATCGTGATGACAGCTTTTAATTTTTCATGACCGCTCCTACTACCGCTCCCTGAAATGTGATTGCAAAATAACCCCGTCATGAGATTTGTTAAAGGAATACACACGTGAAGTAATGGAATGAATAACTCACTGCGCCTAGCTGTGCCAGTTTCAAGACCGATTTGGCTTAACAAAGATTTTACTGCTGAGCCCTTTACAAAGGTCTGACGATCCTAAAGAAATAACAACAATAATTAGTGGGAAATATGATAGACAACAGATCCTAATTTACAACCAACTTTGAAGAAAACTACTAATCTTAATAACCAAGTGCCAACTGAGGAAAACATGTCCCAAGTCCACTGAAATCGATTTTGAGAGAAATTCGTATTCAACGAAGTCTCTTATTGACCAGAATTAACCAGAGTGGTTTTTCGCTTCTACTAATAGATGTGTATTGATGTCATAACCACTATCTTGGGAAAATACACGCTGAAAAACCGAAGGCAAAATGTACCACCTTAAAGACACTATAATGAAAAAATTGCATTGAATTGTCACTCTAATGACTGCCAGAAACCAATATAAGTGCTCACTATACCAACTATATGTGCATCAATTGTCTGTTGAACCTGTGACCTCTGGTTTGAAAGAATTTAGGTTAACCACCACCACCACCACACCACGGAAAGTGAGTAAATAGCTTAGGAATCAATCAACATGAGAACACGGCAACTTGTATCTCGACTTCGTACCAGCCCAAAAGCCCGTTTCCTATAATGTTGGATGACCTGTTTCAATAGCCCTGAGGAGCAAGAAACAAACAGTCGCAGCATACCTGGCTAAATAATTCCTTATCCAGACCGAAGAAGTAGTGAAGAGCCGAAAACGTAACCCGATGTAAACGGATAACAATCATTTGGGCAAGTCGAAGATTAGCTGGTGGATGATCACGACATACTTTGATCAAATCTGAAATTGCTACAAAAATGACCTTGCTTCTAGTTTTGGCAACGGCATCAATATGATGATATGTTGATTTTCGATTATTCATCACGTCCAAAATAGCCATTAAACTGTAGGGATTTCCACCACTTGTAACCTCGTGGATAACTGTTGAATAATCGTCCTAAATGGCAACAAATAAAATGAAATATGTTTCCACAAATGAACTAAAAAGCGGGGAACGGCTATGCTCACCTCATCTGTAACTTTCAAATCTATGCGACCGCTTTTGACTACAAATATTTTATCCTCAAGATCCCCATCACGAAAAAGATAGGATCCGGCTTCTAACTCTTTGGTGCTAATAACATCTGCAAGATTCTGGACAACATCTCGGCCAAGGTATGTTAGTAGGCGAACATGTTTCACCATAATCTTGAGGTCTTCGGGCATATCAGTGCTTTCATCCCCAGATTCTGGTTCAAAGAAAGACTCTGGAAGATTGCGCCTCTTGAGAAGAGGATTTCGACCCTCGGAATCCCCACTGAAGAGTCTGAAAGCAACGGTTTAACAGGAATAATAGTTATAAACCTTTTGACGTAACCAATTATGAGCTCTCGTTGCTCTTCTCTTGACTTTGATGCAATAGAGTTAAAGTTTCGAGTAAGACGAATAGCATAATAGCGAATTTTATCTCGATTTCGAAAGCGAAAATGGTTAACTTTATTTTCTTGCCGGAAAGGCACTAAGGTGTGGAGAGATTAGTAACGAAACTACTATACCTTTGTGTCGAAGACGCTGACACAGCATCCAAATAACGATCGCAATTAATGGTGAAACAACAAATAATAAAGTACCAGATAACTAAGAAATCATTAAGCAAAATATGAACAGTACTAATAATTTGTATAACAAATCCGAGGAAGTGGAGTCCGCATCTGTTTTAACTTTGAAAAAAGAATCGGCATCAGTCTGACAAACATTTTCAGATAATTTTTCACAATTTGAGGCGCTTTTGATTATAGTAAAAATGGCAGAAAATACCAGAACCGAAAGAAAAATATAAGAGCGGCCATCCATGGTTTCCACCTAGGCGCGCAAAGTTATGCCTACTTAAACAAGCGTAAGGTTACATGTGGTTTTGTAATCATTTAAAAGCAGCGAACTAAAATTAACTTACATATATTGTTCATCATCTTCGTCATCTTTTGAATGGAAGTTTTTTTTCAACATATAATTGCAAATACGACAAAGCGAACAGCATGGCCAGCACATATGAAAATACAATTATTAAATGCAGAATGTGCCTGAGGTATGTAGGAATCAGATATATTTCCCCAAATAAGGTTGTTTTTTCTTTACAGCAACTCGAGCAGGTGTCAACTGCATACTCCGCCCGAATTTAAGAGCGTATTCGTTAAAATTGAATAACCAATAGACGTCGAGGATACCTCATGAGCCCAATTTAAAGTAATCACACCTCTGAGTCACTTTGCCTTGACAACGAATATTTTAGGTAGAATTAATCATTAAGTGAAAATTTGTTTGGAACAGGTGTTAAAAGAGATCTATTAAATTAAAAATTTATATTGCATTATAAAATTTTATAGTTAAGTTGTGCATCTGTTCTTCTAGTCCATATTAAATTGCAGTAACTAAAGTTATTATCTCAATTCAACTTATCGTTACTTCCTGATTTAACACCTTTTGAAGCTCGGACAATATCCTAGCTCAATTTTTTGTGCTTATGATCTCTATTTTATCTTTCAGAATTAGTGGTTCATACTAAATATTTGTAGACCTAAGACCTTTAAATAGTATTGTTCCTGAGCACGTCATATCTGAGGATAAACATTTTTAATTACCCCACTGTCACCCAACAGATACTTTTCAATTCAGCTTGCATAAACTACCTTATTTTCTTTCTCCTTAGGCACAATTTTAGAAAGTATACTGATTTTCAAGATTTTTATTACTCTGAGTTACCCCCTTTCGTGGAATTAATTTTGCCCTATATTTAATTCAACTTTGATATAGTCCATCCAATTTCGTTGGCCACCAATAACGCCCTAATACATGCGGATGTTCTATTGGAGTTGATCAGAAAGGAATATTTCATCTTAGCACGCCGGTATCCTCATTCATTTCTACACAATTACTTTAATCAAAGCCCATTTAAACTTCAAATGTTGAAATAATTCTGCAATAACCCAGAACGTTGGTGAAAACTAAATTTCCACTTCTCTAACTAGTGAATACCAAGGCTTGCTAATAGTTAGTTGCCATAGAGGCACTATAAATTAAAGAATAACCCAAACAGCATAGTACTCACATGGGTCCAGATCGGAACATAGGTAACTGCGCAATAGGCATCACTATTGCCGTATCGAGAAGAAGGGTTAGTATTTACACAAAATATTTATTTCGATAAAATTATTGAGCTTTGCTGATCACCTTATGAGTTTCCTAACAACATAACTGGACTTTGTCCCACAATGCGTCCCCAAACGAATAATTCAACCTGTGATCAGCTCTTCTAATTAAACGGTTGGAGCAATGAAATCAAGTGAATGTAAAATGTGAGACGAGACAAGAGGTACCCAGAAATGAAGCTCTTTAAGAAGCTGTGTAAGCCGAACATTATTAGAACTGAACTAGACTCGAATGCATTCTAATTTCTAGGGGATTGGCTGATTTCAGATTTGAGAACCTGGAAGTCGAGAGAGGATTGAAGAATAAATGAAGCTATGTAACTAAATGAATCTTTCAGGTGAGTTCAAATCACTATGTATCTTTGTCCAGACTAAGTTCGTCATTTTTAGCCCTTCCACCAATTTTGGGTCTAATCGAGAGAACACTCGACTTTATCTCAATCTCATGGTGTCGTCGTCTTGATGTTTTGCAGAAAAATATTCTCAAGACAAGAAAATTTTCATGTTACCATTGCTATTGGGGCAAATATGCTGTTGGACAATGTCGTCCAGTTACCAAACTCCAACACACACCCCAACCCTTCATTTGACAGAATTCATTTCTCTGTCTTCTTGCTACCTAATCTAGAGTAGGAATCGTTTCTACCAATGACTCCTCCTCGATAAAATAATTGTCCACTTTTAACCTATCAACTAAAATCTAATGTGTGTTAATGCAGCTCCTTTTCATCATAAAACATCAAATTGCACAACGATAAGTGATTTTAACCGAACTGTAAAACTGGAGAGTCTGTACAAATGGCAGAGAGGGTGAGGGGTGGGGAGTGTTACGGTGCATCTTTTCGGCTCCTGCGTTCGTAGATTTTGGAGTCGGCCTTTCTGTCAAGAGTCCTACGAGCACGCGGCAATTTATTTCTTTTGAATTCGACCTCACGCATCCAGTTGGGGTCAGTCTAAAGTACACGAAAGAGAACTTTTAGTATGAACTACTACTGCTGCTGCTTAAATAAAAGAAGCAGACAAGGTTCTGCATAAGTGATCGTGATTGCAGAGGCCTTACAGAACGCTAAATAGATCCGCACGTAATTTACTTGCATGCCAAAATACACAAATGGAACTCACTAAAGCGTAACATTTGGTGGGGTGATCAACGTGAAATTTACCTAATACCAATCAATGTTGATTACTTCGACCCAAACATGGGACGTAGCAGAAATTATGCTTCCGGAAACACAGCCTCTTTCAAAACAAGTCAAATTTTTTAATGATTTCTGATGAAACTACATTCCAAAGAGATTATTCAAGTAAAATAGATATTATGGAATACTAGCAGTATTATCAGACCCTTTCATTAACATTTTAGAGACAGATATGGACTTTGAAAATCCAGACTGAAATATGAAAAGCACAAGAACATCAATAAAACAAGAAATAAATGAATGAAAATTCTTAAGCTCAAATATTGGCTTCTATGAAAAGTTTAATCCATCACATAAATGTATATGATAAGCAAGATAAAAGAGCTGCCTTTATTGCCACAAAAAAAACATAGAGCTTACTCGGAGTTTGCGGAGGCTGGGAGCAAGTTCTCCGGGCAATTGGAATGACAGGGGAAATTTGCTCAATTTTTCATACTTTTTAATCGCCTTTCTTACTTGCTTTTTCGCCTTCTTCACCTCCAACTCCTTTTTCTCCTTCTTTATCTCCTTTACCAACTTCGGAATGCTAAAGGTTCGAAAATAATTGGATAGTTGATAGTACGAAAAAAATCAATACTACTTATCCAAATTAAGTACAACCCTACTTTTCCAAATCATTGTGCATTTGCTTTGCCAAGTAGGCTGCGGTCGACTTCTTCTCCTTCACCTTTTCCTCATGCCTAATGGCATCGAGTTGAGCCTGAGTTGGTTTTAGCTTCTTCTTTTTGGGGTGCTTCTTTCGGGCCTCCTTAACGGCATCTGGATCTGCTGCGGCAACCGCCTTTTCCTCCTCCTCCTTAGCTACGTGCATTAGGAGGGCTTGATGATCAGCTAATGTGGGATTATAAGATTGACCGGCGGGGACTATCAATGTGGGCTCTGGCACCTTCTGCTTAAATTTTTTAAAAAAAGCACAGAAGCATCAATTGGAGGACGGTTACTGACAAAGCTTATAAGACTTTGAACATTCGAAAGTTTGAATAAATTCACACAAACAATTGCAACGAAAAAAATGCATAAAAATACCAAGCCTATTTATTTTAATATAAAACCCATGGATTAGATTTTAAAATTTCGATTAGGAATATAAACTAAAAGAATAATTGCAATTTAAAAAAACCTGTAAGCAAAGACTGCGGGCTAGAATTTTAATTGAAACTGATAAAAGTAGCCATAATTGAAATAAGATTAGCAAAAAAAATGATAAAAAACAAAAAATTGGCAAAAATTTGCCTCACACCCATTAAAATAGAGAGGAAGTGAAACTCAATTGCTGGGAATAAAATACTTTATAAGACATTTTTCAACAAGCAAATAACCAAAAAAATTGAACTCTACTTTAGCAATTTGTTATCCAATTTAGGTGTGTAACAAAAGCACCAAAAATACTAAATTTAACCAAATTTAAAGTTATTAAAATAATCCAATTATTCCAAGCTGAAATTGTATGTTAAAGATAACGTGGAAAATAAGTCCTAGGAATAGTTGCAAAGGCATTTAATATTTAGAGGCTATCGGAGCGTATATCTAACTTATATAACATCAAAATTCATAAATGGGAATGCTAATCGGTGTGTAAAACCAATCTTCTCAATCAATGAATAAAATTATTCAAACTTATAACACAAAACTAAGTGAAATAGCAGAAAGTAAACTTACGACTGCAACTTTTCTAGCCTTTTCAACAGTATTTGAAGCTTTCTTTTGAACTTCAAAATCATCATCCCAAACATCCACCATCCGTGCGAAAATTGACCGCTTTCCTTTCTTATAGGATTTTCTAGATGAATTAAATTAGGACATAAAAGAAACAAACACCTTTCAAGAGCGCTGCTAGCTGTAGGGATATCAGGACAATCCTTCGCTAAATCTTTGTCTCCCTTAAGAATTGAACACTCTTTGGGTTTTTGAACCTCAAATCCGGCAGCGCTGCAGAAAATCGTTGAAATATTAATAAAAAACATACGTTAAGTTATTCTCTCTGACGGCGTCGTGCAAATCGGACGATATATTCTTAAGAATGCGCTTCCATTGCTTCTTCTTATTTTTACCACGATTTTTCATTTCTATTAATGAACGGAATAGGTGTTGCCTGGATGCTAACAAGAATAATCAGGTAGGATTGAATAAATAGCCACAGAAAAATAACTCGAAAGACCACGTCCTGAAAAGCGTGACCCAATAAGTTTAGAAACGTCGCCTTCTAAATCAGCTTGTTTAAACTATTGTAAAAAAACTTTTCTATTTCATTCTTTTCATTAAATGTTAGAATGAATACGACAAAAGCATATTTACTTGTAATATTTTTTGTTTATGGTAACTAATTTATCATCATATAACCCTTTCCGAAATCAAACTGTTCCGAAAATATAAACTGTTAATTGACTTAAAGTATTTTTTCCTTTTAATTGTTTGTTAAAATTAGAAAATCATGATTTAGAACTCAAAGTATTTACGTCCAAATTATTCGCAGGAGAAAATTGTAGTTAGGGTTCCTATATTTAAATTGATAGTTTTGTTAAATGTCTGTTATTGGTTGATTCTCATCTGCGAATGGAAAATACTTAATTATATCTAAATAATTTTCTTGGTAAATTAATTTCCTTAGCCAAATTGTTATAATTTTCATATGAAGGGATTTTTCCTTCTGCTTTAAATGCGATGATTCCTGAAGATAAACCACTGCAATTTATGCCACAGGTGTCTTCTAAAGGTCGGTTGCACACCTTATGCATA